GGGGCGGGGCCAGGCGAGTGCTCAGGGCACAGTGGTGCCTCTGCCAGGCCCCAGTGTGCTTCTCTCCGAGGTGGTTCTGTCTCCGCAGGCACCTCCCCAGCTGCTGAGATGCCACCAGCAGCTCCATCACACCAGGCAGCCACCAAGTGCCTCTTCCTACGAGCCAGTGAAAGCCCTGGGCTCTAAGTGGGTGATGTGCGTGGGTTCCAGGATGGAATGACAGTCGGGGGAGAGGGGAAGGTGCGTTGCCCAGAGCTTCCAGGTGCCCATGCCCTTCACACGCATGTGCTTCAAAGATGGCAGCACCTCGTGTTGGTGTGGCTGTTGCACCTCCCTCCCAGCCACGCCGCCCCCACCCCAGAGGGGCGACTCCGAGTTGCACCCGCTCCTAGCCCAGGTCTAAGAGCTCTGGGTGGGGTCCAGCAACCTACAGCCAAGGGACGCGTGTGAGCCCACCTGGAGCCAGGGCACAAAAGAGTGGAGGGACCACAGCAAAACTGCTCTGGCAAACAACAGAGGCCACAAATCCAGGGGTCAGTTAACATTACTGGACCAAGCACCCAGTTTGTTTTTCTAACTGGTGGAGTTCTGAAGAGGATCAGTTTAAAAACAACATAGACCGCTGCATTTTCTCCACTCGACTCTACTGTCCCATCTTGCCATCTACACCTGAGCAGCCCTCTCCACTTCAGATCGCCGTCCGGCCTCCCACCACTGTCAGATGCCATCTCTGTGAGAAGCCCCCTCCTCACTGCTTTCGGACACAATGGAGCCATGCCCCGTGTGAGATGGGCCATGCGAGCGCAGGAGTGAGGCGGGCGGAGCACACACCAGCCTCCCCCCAGGTCTGCCCCTGCCCGAACATCTGGTGCCCCCAGCAAGTGAGACGCCCCGGCTGCTGTGCTGGAAAGCATGCCTGTCCAGCTTTCCTTGGGTCCAATTTCCTCACCTGTCATGTGGGCTGGGCTTGCTATGAGGCTTGGGACACAGGAGAGCACGGCTGTCAAAAAGATACGCCCTCTGCCTCCCGTGTCAGCCACGTGCTGGCTGTGCCTCATGGGGCAAGTTATGTCCCCTCTCTGAGCCTGTCCCTCGCCTGTGAAATGCAGATAACCCCCCATGTAAAGCTGTCAGGGGAATGAGAGGAGTTCATACGTGCAAGGCACTTAGATCAGCACCTGGCACAAATTATAAAGCGTCAGCCATCAGCATCCCCATCACCGTCATAGCTCGTACCCTTCGCACTGATTGGTTTAGTCAGGAGTGTGTGAGGCAGTTCTAGCCAAGACATTAGAGGAGGCCAGCTGAAGCCAGAGCTTCAGAAAGGTCTCCCTTTATCTTAAAAAGAGACACATAGGATTGCTTAAAGCCAGGAGTTCAAAACCAGCTTAGGTAGCAAGACCCAGTCTCTACAAAAAATTTTACAAACTAGCTGGGTGTGTTGTCATGCATCTGTGCTCTCAGCTACTAGGGAGGCTGAGGTGGGAGGATCACTTGAGCCCAGGAGTTGGAGGCTGCAGTGATCTATGATTATGCCACAGTACTCCAGCCCAGAAGGCAGAGCAAGACATCTTCAAAACACAAAAGAGCGAGTGACCCATAAAAGAGGCAGCCATTTGTCTCCAAACACCTTACACTGGACTGGTGTGGCGCCTGGAGCTGTGGTGGCCATCTGGCAACCGTGAGGCCTGAGGTCCTGAATGGCCAGAGAGAACACACCAGGAAAAAACACACAGGGGGATTTGGGATTTGTTAGCATGGAAGGAGGGGGGAAGAGCTGCCAGGGAGGCAGCCAACACTCCCGGAGCACATGCAGCCCTTCTGTACCCGACCAGCCCAAGGGCGTCTTCCATGAACCCAGTCCCCGTCCCTCCTTCCAGGAAACTGGGGAAAACAATTCAAGTGGCCTTGATCTTAGACAGTTCCCTTGGAATAAAAGTACCAAGACTAAGCAGAGAAGTCCGAGAGCTTCAGGTTTGCAGTTCTATGGAAAAGATTTAAGAGGGTTAAAATATTCATTAAAATGGCTCAGTCTCCCGGGCCAAGGCTGTGTGATCACACCTGAGAGTCTCAGCACTGCCTAGCACCCCCTCTCTCCTTGCTGAATTTTTAGTCCAACAGATCACAGAACCCACACCCTAAAAAATACAACGGCATTCTAATGGCATTCTGTTTTGCCTTTTAGCCACCACCAACTCAACCTATTTTCAGAGCAGGTGAAATACAATTCTGAATCCAGTTTGGAAAGATTCTGGCAACCAACACTTTATGTCAAAGCACAAGGAATGATGACAAGGCCTCTGGCGATGGAAGATCAAAAACAGGCTTGTTTTATTTATACACAGACCAACTTATGTACAGCACTCAGGTATGGACTATGTACATAACAATACAAGAGGCATTTGTTTCCACGGTGGTCACTATATAAATTAAGATTATAAATACGAGGGGGAAGCCCCACCTGAGGGCACAGAACCTTTTCTCCAAGACTCTTCAGGGATCCTTCCTGCCTCTCTCTGCACAGCAGACCGTGAGGCCTGTCTGGCAACACCACAAGGGGACCTGGGCCGGGGCAGCAGAGCAGCCCCCGGACAGCAGTGACACCCCAGTGCAGGACACCAGCCCAGCACCAAAGGGCAGTTTCCTAAACATGCGTGTTCATTCCTTCCTCACTTCTAACTTGTTAGAATTAGAAAAAATGGTTTTTATGTAAACAGTGTTGTTATAATCACTGACAACATATTAAACACTTTTGATCCAAACCCAACTCCTTGCCAGGAGTAGGACACTGAGGACTTGGGATGGCCCTGATGTCCTTGAAGCCACGGTCGGCTGTTTATCCTCATGTCCCCTCCTCACCCGAGTTCCAGCTTGCCTGGGGCTTGTTCTGGGACCCTAAGAGCCCCAGGATGCCCACACTGCCAGGTCAGCAGGGCCAGTGGTCATCCAGGGACTGCAGGACAGGCTCCCATCATCTCCTGTGTTAGCCCGTTCCACCTGGGAAACCAAGCGACTGCCATGGCTGGCTTATTTCTCCCTCTGCTGACCCCATCTAGAATGTTCTGGGGAAAACAATCACGGGTGGAAAAGGTGACACACAACCACCTTCCACCCACATCACCTCCAGGGAGGCAGCTAAGTCCACCAACAGAGCACGGGAGAGTCTTTCATCCAAAACCCCCACACGCCGCATGGAGGGACAGGAGGCTGCACTGGGGAAACCCAAGGCCCTGGCTCAGCCTCCTCACTCCAAGGGCCTTGGCCCAGAAGGACCATGAAAGCGGAGCACCCCAAGGCACGTGGAGGGGCGCATCTAGGCGCACTGCAGAGGAGACAGAGGGGCTGTGAGAGATGGGCCAGCGCTGTTCACTGCCACCTGCTCAGGACCGAGGGCTGCCGCAGAGCCAGCCCCGTCTATGCCCTCCCCCACAGGTGCAGCCCAGCTTCTGCACGTCAGATGGCGTGACGCTGACTAAAGGAGTGGGGCGGCGCCGGCAGACACTCCCAACACTGTCCTTCTCTTTGGGGCGTGGAGCTACAGGCAGGCAGCCAGGCCAGAGCCATTTCCTCCTCACACCAGGGCAGGGGTTACAGAAACCTCTTCCCAAGATATTTACGAGCCCCTGCGAGCCATAACTATCAAGGGGAAAAAAGAGCAAAGTCAGTGCCCTGGAGGACCAGGCGCGTCCTCCACCTGGAGACTGCCCCTGCGGAGCACAGCCCTCTCCCCAGCTGAGCTCCCTGCCCTCTGGCACCATCATCTGCTAGTTCAGAGCCAGGACAGAGGCAGGGCAGGAGCAGTGCGGACCATCAAATCAGAGTCCCCGCCAGCACCTCCAGCGACATCAGGTAGCAGGAGACAAGAAGCCACCGCAGGGGCAGCGATACTAAGAGAGCCTCTGGCCTCCAGGCCACCGGATGGCGTGAAGAGGTCAAACCACACCTGCCCACCAGGGCCATGCTCCCTGGGAACCACAGAATGGACAGAAAGAGTTTCCCAGAGCCAGGAAGCGTTTCCCACACAGAAACACTGAACTCATGTAGACACACATCCTCTGTCTGTGGGGATGCAGCTGGCAAGCTGTCTCACTCACAGCCCCAAGCTGAACTTGAGGCCTACAGCATCTGGAGACAGAAGGGCAGGCGTCCCCAGGCCACAGTGGGGGAGGAGGAGAGGGGAGAGGGAGGAGGGAGGAACGCAGGCCCTGCGACACCCAGTGAGGGGCTCCCCGCCTAGGAAACAGCACTCGCTGCCTTGGCTCACGCAGGAGAAATTTTTCTTTTCACGTCAAATTACAATCAACAGGACTGGAAACATCCATGCTACTTTCAAACCAGGAAAGAGCATCATTTTTGTTCAACAACAAAAGCTGCATCAACAAACGCGCTCCTGCAGGCTGCTGGGCCGCAGCCACGTTTCCGAGAACCGGACGGGGGCCAGGAGGCGGAGCCACACAGTGTGGCCACAGAAGGACACAGGGAGAGGAGCCCCTGGACAATCCAAGCACGTGGCCAGGCAAGGGGTGCCCAGGAGGCCAAACGCTGCCAGATTCCCTGGCCCACAACACAGGCGGGGAAGAACTGAGTGGCCGCAACACATGTGCTCCAGGTGACTCTGAGCTGGAGAAGGTGTTGTTTCAAAGGTAGCTGTGTTGTTATGTTCGAGACCCCAGAGCTCTGGTGGACGGTGTCACGGAGGCTTTCTGTAGCTGACAGAGGAAGTAGCACCATGAGAAGGGGGCGGGCTGCAGCGTCCGCCCAGGGCCTCAGTGGCAGGAGGCGCAGAGACCACAGGCTGAGAGGGCAGAGGCTAGGCCTCAGCGGCGGGGATGTGGAGGCCGCAGGCTGAGAGGGCAGAGGCTAGGCCTCGGCGGCGGGAGCGCTGCGGCTCAGTTCCTTGATGCCACACAGGATCCTCTTCATGTGGCCCACCTTGGTCACGCCCAGGTCCTGCAACAGAGGGGACACCACCATGGATGCTGGGGAGACAGCTGGAGCCAGAGGGCTCCACAGCAGGCCTGCCACAGTAGCCCTTTCCACTCGGCTTGTGAACACAAATGAGAGTGAAAATGACAAAAACGGTAAAACAGGATGGAAACGGCTTAAAAATAACCACCATACAGATGCCTGGCCCATCGTCCTGCATTCTAGTCACTGCCATCAGCAAGGACAAATCCAAGACAAAGACAAAGACAAAACACAGGCCTGAAAGCAAGTGGATGACAAGTGACCTCACGAGAGCTGCTGTCCAGGACACCCACAGTGGCAATCTGCCCTCTTGGGACTCGGCCAGTGACTCAACACCCAGGGGCGGCCCCTTGAGGCCAACCTGGGCAGGGGCATGGCGCTGCAAGATGTGGCGTGATGCCTGGCATAGACGAGGCCTGGCACCCAACCGCCACCTCCCAATGCTCCCTGCAGACGAGTGGCGGCACCCGCCCAGGAGCAGCATGGGGACAGTCGCGTGTGACTGCTTCAGGGGGCTGTGTCCCCTCATCGGGTTTTTAACACGAAGACAGTCCTTGTCTGATTAGGCTAAGATAACCAAGGCTCTGACCCCATTATGTCTGCTCCTGGCTTCCTCTGGCTGTGGTGGGTGGAGCCATCACTGCCTAGGGTGAGGGCCACAGTCGCCCCCACCTGAGGTATACACAAAGGCCTGAGAAGAATCATGATGCTGAGACGTGGCCAGGTCGGGGGAGAGGATGGAAGAGAAGGCAACCGCGTGCAAGCCCAAGTGCAGGTTCCAGGGAGACGCCTATGGAAGTACCTTGAGGTCCCTCCGCTCCAGGTGCAGGAGCTCAGAGCCCCGGATGTCGTGCCGCGTGAAGATGTCCTTATACTCACACAGACTGAGGTGCTCCAGCCAGGCAGCAACCTCCTCTGTCCCCCAGAGGTGAACTGTCGGAGATGGAAAAGCACGAGTGCAGTGAGTGCCCAGAGCCCAGTGCGAGGTAGGCAGCGGCCGGCACCCAGCACCCGAGAGCCCAGTGCCAGGACAGGAGACGCCCCAACAGCCAGCACCCAAGACAGCCCAGCAGCCACTACCTGAGATAGCCCAGCAGCCAGCACCCGAGATAGCCCAGCAGCCAGCACCTGAGCCATGTCTGGCAGCCGGCACCCATCACCCAGCCAACAGCACCACCCACCAGCAGTGCAGAAACAGAGAGCCACCAACTCAGGGGGCAACGGCTGCAGCAGAGCTGGCATCTGTTCCTGCCAGGTGGGCCACCAGCCTCTGGTCATTTCCCCGTGTCCCAGGAGGGATTTACCACCACCAAATATGAGGGAAATGTCCCCATGATTGTGGCCAAAGCCAGCTTTTCCTCCAGCTTCTAGAAGGGTTAAATTTCACTTCTGGACCATAGCAGGAAGGGAGACAAGCAGAGATTCCAATTTCACATAGTCGGGGCCACCATCATTAACAGAAACCCAATTTCTGGACAAACATGCAAAGAAGAAAAACCCACAGGAGCTGCCCTGCCTGGCGGCAAACACCAGTCCCGATATCCAGGCTTGGAGGCCTCTCCAGCCCTTGACAGCACTGGATATGGCCTGGGTACTCAGGGCTGATCCTTCAGACAGAGAGTTTAGCTCCAATTTACTGACCCAAAGGAACAATGTCCTTTAGGACCATATTCGATTGATTTCATCACCCACAATCTCTGGTGGCCTGGGGTTCCCAGCACAGGAACCTTGACCAATGCATCGATTTATCAGGAGCCAGCAGCCCAGGAGGGAGCAGGCGGAGCATGCCCCAGCGCAGCCTGAGTTCAGAGCTTTGTGTCTCCAAGTTTGTCTTGTCACCACTGCTGTCTTCCTCCCCACCTCGAATCTCCCAAGTCAGGGCAGGCAGAAAGCCAGCGAGCACGTTAGGGCCGGGTCTGACAACGGTCAGAGGGGAAGCAGGCGGGGTGGAGGGCTGCAGCTACGAACAGACTAGTGTGGCCATGGGACCGGGGGTTACAGCACGGGGACCAAGAGGGAGGAGCCACAAGGCCAAGGGAGAAAGCAGAGGCCAGGAGAACTGGGCCGAGCCAGCAGGCAGGGACGGCCAGAAACACACACGGGAGAGAAGCAGGTACCCGGGGCTGCCAGGTTACTGTGGGCTTCTTTGTTCTTGTTGTTTTTCTCCTTTTTAAACTTGGTCACGAGGCGGAATTTACCACTGCGACTGCGCTTGGCAAGATCCAGCATCACGCTCTGTTGGGGAGAGTGAGAAATACTGAGAATCAGGCTGCAACTGGTCACGGCCTCATGCCCATCTCCACCAGAGAGGCTGGGAGGGCAGGCAGGGCTGAGACGAGCGGGAGCTGGGAAAGACCTCTTGTTCCTGAAACGGCTTCTCTCCCTTATTGATGCTTGTATTTACTGTTGATTTTAGTGACTGTTAAAGTGGCTTCAAAGTGATCACAGTGTCTATTTTTATCATAGTCTACTGTCTTCACTTTACATGTGCATTTCTCATGAGATTTAAAAACTTTTTGAAAATATAAGTATCAGTATCTACACGAAAATTATTAAAATAACCTCTTTAGCCAATCTTCTAGTGTTGGATTGCTGGGCTTTGATTGTTAGTATTACGAGTATCTGTCTAACGAAAACTCTTCCTGCACTTCACATTCTTTCCTTGCGATCCACTCCCTGAGGCACAAAAGCGGAGGAAGGGTGAGCAGCAGAGCCACAGAGGAGCTCGGCCTCTGCTCTTGACAGCCATCAGCAGCAGCGGCCTCTCCACAGAGCACTCCCAGGGACGCAGGGAGGTAACACTGCCTCACTCTGCGATGCGCTCTTTGTAAGAGACACTCCAAATAAAGCTTGAAAGTAAAACTATGAAAAAAACACAGCAAGCAAGTAGACTTGAAGATAAAAAGAATTACTAAAGATAAAAGGATCATTAGATAATGATAAAACCTATGGGTACCCAATAACATAGCCTCAAAATACATGAAGCAAAAATAAACATAACCACAAAGATAAACTGAGACATCTACAATTATGGTATTAGAGTTAACTGATATATCAAGAAGACAAAAAAAAATTTCAGTAGGAACTTATTGATGTAAACACAACTGCATACAAGGTACATTTACAAAAACCACCTATTGGGCCATAAGACAAGTCTCACCTCAATACATTTCAAAGGACTAGTAACACACAGACCACTGCTTGGAGCACAGTAAAATGAAGTTAGGGAAATAAAAAACATATTCTTGAGTAGCTAATTTAGATGCTTATTATTTGGCACAGTTTCATGACTGTTGTAACTGTCTTAGATATGCAATTTTATTTTTATATTGTTACTTTGGATTTTTTATGGTGTTTTCTTTATTTTTAATCTTTCTGTATCATAAATTTTTATTAGGAGTATGAGAAAAAAACAGGGCTCTTGTGAGCAATATATGGTTAGGTTTCTTTTTAAACACAACCTGAGAATTTGCTTAGCCATGTCATTTATCTGTTATCTTATTTTCATGCTGTTAGTGATACCCTTGCTGGTCCTTTATTTTCTTTTACAATATAAATTGTATTTTATTTTTGTCTTTGGTAGCAATTTGGAAGATACAAATCTTTTCAGCTTTATTAGAAATTACCTTTAAGTTAAAAAAAAAAAACATTTTTTTAAAATAGAGACAGGATCTCACTATGTTGCCGAGCCTGGTCTTGAACTCCTAGTCTAATGTGATCCTCCCACCTTGGCCTTCCAAAGTGCTGCGATTACAGGTGCGAGCCACCACTCTTGACCCTAAAAACATTATTGACTCTGTATTTCTCCAAGTAGGAAAGTCAAGAATGTTGTTTGTAACGTCCTTCCACTGTAAGAGGAGGAATTTAACATGCTTTCCTTCCCCCGTCCATGTCCTCTTCACAGCCTCTCACCTCACTGCCCACTTTACTGGCCTTCATTTAATCTGGTATTAGAGGGCTATGTCACTGTTACATCTGTTGAATCGTTATGTATTATGATTTTTGTAATTTTGGGTAAAATTTTTTATCATCTTTACAATGAATTATTTAATGGATTTTGAGGAGCTTGCCCTGTCCTTTTATACCCAAGTGCCCTCAATGAGAAGCTGCAGAGTCTCATCCATCGGCTGGAGGGCCTGAGTCAGTTCCCCATGAAGGGCTTGCATGCGTCAAAAAACGCCCCAGGGTCCTGGAAAGAGCGTGCTGTTGTGCAGCTGCCCACTTCTGTCCCCTCACCTTACTGTTGCCCACAGTCCTCACAAACCCCACTAGGCAGGGGTGCCCAGGTTTGGCGTCTTATAGTTATTTGCCTTCTGCAACTGTATTGCCCAAGATGAGCTTTCCTCATGGCCCCTTTGTGTTCTATCTCTGAAGGGGGGAAGCCAAGAGACAGGCTGGGGTTTGTCCTTGTCCAGACACGACCCTCTCCAGGGCTCCTTCAGCCAGCGCTCCCTGCAGAAGAATGTGACTCCACCCCAGGGTCCGCTATGCCCTGGGTCCTCGGGTCCCTCGAGACCTGCGACGAGCTGGAGTCTTTCTGTTCACACAGGAAGAGTGTGTGAGTGGGGAGTGGTGCACACCAACTGCGCCCTGTCCACAGCAAGATCCCAAAAAGCTGCCATTTATCCCATGATGCATCTCCACCCTCGGTGGAGGCTGTGGGGCTAGGCTCAGCCTTCTTTCTACCCACTGTCCAGGAAGCCCTGCAGTTCTGTTTCAGAGGACAACAGGTCCCTGGTCCTCAAGAGGCACTCTTAATCCCAGCCCCGAACTCCTTCCTACCTGCTGTCCCTCCCTGCCTTAAAGAGCATTTTAATAGCGAAGTCTGGAGAAGGCCCCTCAGGGGCTGCCAGAGCGACACCATCTTGATTCCAGAGCCACACAGGCCACAAGGAACACAGACACTGCAGGCAAGAGCCACCATGTCCGGGGGACCCAGGCATGGCCCCATGAGCCACATACCTCTTCATCGCCGGGCTCTGCAGACTGGCAGAGCCAGGGGGTGTCTGCCAGCCTCCTGAGCTGTCGGTCCATCTCGGTAAGAGCACTCCCCAGCTGCTCCTTCTGCGGCGGATCCAGCTGCTGCTCCGGGCGGAGGGAAGGAGGGAAAGATGGAGAGTGTGCGCTGCCGATCAGCATGAGGCCCAGCGGGTGAGGCCCGCCCCAGGCCTCTGCTCTGATCAGGGAGCTCACTTTCCAGAAATGAAGTCCCAGAGCATTCGAGAAGGAACCAAACCCAGAACCTCACTTTCTAAATAGTGCTGGTGAGAGAATAAAACTGTCCATCGGTCAATGATGAATTCACATACAGCAGGGCTGACACATGACCTGCTTGTGTCCCTCTGTCAGCAAGGAGGTCAGAGTCATTCACCTGTGCCAAGCAGTGGAAATGCTGTAGGAGGCAAAGTCAGCAGTCATGCCTTGCAGGAGGCAGCACGAGGTGTGCACTGAGGAGACGCATGTGACCACGGGACGTGTGGGATGACAGGAAGCGTCCAACAAGAGAGCCGTAGAGTGAGGTTTCTGTGGAGTGAGGAGATCCATGGAGTGACGTGTGGAGTGAGGACATGCATGGAGTGAGGAGATGCGTGGAGTGGGGAGATGTGTGGAGTGAGGAGATGTGTGGAGTGAGGAGAAGTGTGGAGTGAGATGTGTAGAGTGGGGAGATGTGTGGAGTAGGCAGACGTGTGGAGTGTGGACACGTGAGGAGATGTATGGGGTGAGAAGATGTGTGGAGTGAGATGTGCTGAGTGGGGAGACGTGCGGAGTGGGGAGACATGTGGAGTGGGGAGACTTGCGGACAGGGGAGATGTGTGGAGTAGGGAGATGTGTGGAGTGTGAAGATGTGAGGAGATGTATGGAGTGAGGAGATGTGAGGAGATGCGTGGAGTGAGATGTGTGGAGTGAGGAGACGTGTGTGGTGGGAAGACATATGGAGTAGGGAGATGTATGAAGTGAGGTATAGAATGGGGAGACGTGTGGAGTGAGGAGTTGTGTGGAGTGAGAAGATGTGTGGAGTGACTTGTGTGGAGTGAGGAGATGTGTGCAGTGAGATGTGTGCAGTGAGATGTGTGGAGTGAGATGTGTGGAGTGAGATGTGTGGAGTGAGATGTGTGGAGTGAGGAGATGTGTGGATATGTGTGGAGTGAGGAGATGTGTGGAGTGAGGAGATGTGTGCAGTGAGGAGATGTGTGGAGTGAGATGTGTGGAGTGAGATGTGTGGAGTGAGATGTGTGGAGTGAGATGTGTGGAGTGAGGAGATGTGTGGAGTGAGGAGATGTGTGGAGTGAGGAGATGTGAGGAGATGTGTGGAGTGACGAGATGTGTGGAGTGAGGAGATGTGTGGAGTGACGAGATGTGTGGAGTGGGGTGATCTGTGGAGTGAGGAGATGTGAGGAGATGTGTGGAGTGACGAGATGTGTGGAGTGGGGTGATGTGTGGAGTGAGGAGATGTGTGGAGTGAGGAGATGTGTGGAGTGAGGAGATGTGTGGAGTGAGGAGATGTGTGGACTGGGGTGATCTGTGGAGTGAGGAGATGTGAGGAGATGCGTGGAGTGTGGAGATGTGTGGAGTGGGGAGATGTGTGGAGTGAGGAGATGTGTGGAGTGCGGAGATGTGTGGAGTGAGATGTGTGGAGTGAGATGTGTGGAGTGAGCAGATATGTGGATATGTGTGGAGTGAGGAGATGCGTGGAGTGAGCTGTGTGGAGTGAGGAGATGTGTAGAATGGGGACATGTGTGCACTGGGAACATGTGTGGAGTTAACTGTGTGGAGTGAGGAGTTGTGTGGAGTGAGGAATGTGAGGAGATGTGTGGAGTGAGATGTGTGAAGCGAGGAGATGTGTGGAATGAGGTGATGTGTAGAGTAAGGTGATGTGTGGAGTGAGATGTGTGGGGTGAGGAGATGTGTGGATATGTGTTGAATGAGGAGATGCGTGCAGTGAGCTGTGTGGAGTGAGGAGATGTGTAGAGTGGGGACATGTGTGCAGTGGGGACATGTGTGCAGTTAAGTGTGTGGAGTGAGGTGATGTGCGGAGTGAGGAGATGTGTGGAGTGAGGAATGTGAGGAGATGTGTGGAGTGACGAGATGTGTGGAGTGGGGTGATGTGTGGAGTGAGGAGATGTGTGGAGTATGGAGATGTGTGGCGTGAGGAAGTGAGGAGATGTGTGCAGTGAGGAGATGTGTGGAGTGAGGGGATGTGTGGAGTGAGGAGATGTGAGGAGATGTGTGGAGTGAGGAGATGTGTGGAGTGAGGAGATGTGTGGAGTGAGGGGATGTGTGGAGTGAGGAGATGTGAGGAGAGTGTGGAGTGAGGAGATGTGTGGAGTGAGGGGATGTGTGGAGTGAGGAGATGTGAGGAGATGTGTGGAGTGACGAGATGTGTGGAGTGGGGTGACGTGTGGAGTGAGGAGATGTGGAGACATGTGGAGTGAGGAGATGTGTGGAGTATGGAGATGTGTGGAGTGAGTTGTGTGGAGTGAGGAGATGTGTGCAGTGAGGAGATGTGAGGCGTGTGGAGTGGGGAGATGTGTGGTGCGGGGAGATGTGTGGAGTGGGGAGATGTGAGGAGTAGGGAGATGTGTGGAGTGTGAAGATGTGAGGAGATGCATGGAGTGAGGAGATGTGTGGAGTGAGGAGATGTGTGGAGTGAGATGTGTGGAGTGAGATGTGTGGAGTGAGGAGACGCGTGGAGTCGGGAGACGCATGGAGTGAGGAGACGCGTGGAGTGAGGAGACGCGTGGAGTGAGGAGACGCGTGGAGTGAGGAGACGCGTGGGGTGGGGAGACGCGTGGGGTGGGGAGACGCGTGGAGTGAGGAGACGCGT